TAGGGCGTTCAGCTCCCGATAATTGACAACCATGCGCATCTTACGCTCGCCTGTCTCGTCGCTTCGCTTATCCACCATAAGTGTAGGTGCGCAGATCGGGGAGTAGGTGGGGCCTATCCACCCATTAGCGGACAGCTTAGCGATCTCCTGCTTGTGAAATAGAAGTTGTTCGGGGGTCATGCGATAGATCGCCGATTTCGTAGGGAGCTTCCCTGGCACAAGAAGAATACGGTGATCGTGGGGGCGCTTCGGTGGCAACCCTGTAGGAAGTTTATCCGGAAAGACCGCACGGTGGGCACACAATACATCCAGTATCACTCGGGGAGTCTCCTGCGCCTCTTCGGAGGTTAACCACGTATCGAATTTCGAGTACTCTAGCTTAGCCGTTGGCCAAGGGGATGTTTCCTCGTCGTCGGGGAACGCGGAAACGGGCATTGCCTTAAGACACTGTTGGTGGGGGTTGGAAGGGGAGGCTTCGACCAAGGCACAACATAAAGCCCCTTGCCACTCCTCCGCTAGACGCAAAGCCACATCCGACTCCATCACGGGAAGCGTTAGTATGACGCTGAGCCCTTGAAGTGGGTGATGTATGCAAGCCGCACTCTCCGAAGCCTGTTGTAACAGGGCAGCGACCACTGCTCTCCGTTTGCCCCTTGGGGGTGGCTTATACCTCTTAGTGGGTGGGCTTAGGAGAGCCGTAGCTTCCTCCCTAGTCATGTCTGCCACCTGTTTAGCCAGTATGTCGTACGCCTGCTCGGCGGGGGTCCGCTGACGCGACCCTAACGTACGGCCATCCCGTTGTGTTGGCTCGGTGGCACGGACCACCGGTAAATCGCACCACTGTCCATCCACATACGTACGAAGCTTGTCTGACTGGAAATACCACGCTACCCTATGCTCCGTCAACCAATCAAGCCCCACCACTAGATCATACGGCACCGGCCCTACTAAGAAGTCGCCAGCTAGGCGGGCCGTCCCACACCACATTGTGAGCCCCTTCACCACTCGAACTATCCTCAACTGCGCACCGTTAGCTACGGTGAACACATGTTCCTCGGGCAGCTTCCGCGTTCTCAGCTGCAGGCGTTCTACCGCCCCAGGGCTAATGAAACTCCTTGAGGCGCCAGTATCCAGTAGAGCTTCACACTGGTTTCCGGCCACTTCGACTCTTAGCACGGCGGTCATACCCACACTACACAGTGTCCCCTGCGGCAGGGCGTCTCCCTGCACCCCCTGCTCGCGCCACCATTGTAGTTCTTTAGTGCCCGCGTCCTGCGGACGGTTCCCCTCAGTAGATGCGTCGTTCTGCTCGCCGCTGCGGTCCACCCTACCCCTAGACCCTTCCTTGATTGGCAACGTAGTCTCGACGAGGGGCTGGTCGGCCGGGGGTAGCTGAGTTTCCCCCTCGTCCGAGCCTTCGGGGCGTTCCCGCTCCTTCCCCGCGAGCAACCTCCTTCCCCAATCCGGGGAGACTGGAATGGAGTTCGGCCCTGTCGCTACCGCGCACATCGCCCCTTGACCACTCCTAGTCCGCCTAGCCCGCTCGTCTCCCTTAACGGCTAGGCTCGTCCGTTTAAATGCCCTGATTGGTTGACGCTGGGCCGCATTGGCTGCTGTCTGGGCGGCCGGACGGGCTCTGCTCTGGGTCGAGCCGTCGTAGGGCAGTCTCTAGCGTAATGATCCCGGCCTCCACACCTGGAGCATATTTCCCCG